CATGAATTGGATTTATAAACTTTGTCATGTTTATCGTTTTAAGTATTTTACGACGGATGAACTAACTAATTTGTGTTTATTGTGTTTTCTTGGCTCATTTGATTTCGATCAAGCTCTTGCCTCTTTTCGACAAGGTGGACTCGGTTGGGACCTCTTAGGGGTGGTTTGAGAGTGAGGTGCTTAAAAAAAAAGCACCAATGAAAAAAAGCTGTGAGGGTTTTAGGTGTTTGGTAAACTGAAAAAAAAAAGCTTATTTTAGAAGCTGCTGTGAAAATAAGCTGAAATCAAAGGAAAAAGTTGAAGCTGCTATTTGCAGCTTTGGAAAAATGGCTTTTTTTGCAAAGCACACGGAGCTACAGTGCTCCTTTAATGAAAACACCCACTATCAAATTGCTTTTTTTCTTTCCAAAATCACTTTTACAAAAAAATTTACCAAACACTCTGCTGATTTATTTCACAGCCGTTTATTCTTACAACAATTTTTTTTTCAAAGCACAGCATTGTTTTATTGTTTTATTTTTTTGGCGTTTACCTTGTTAACCAAAAAAAAAAACAACTAGAATTTAAAACCCATAGATATTAGATCTCTAACAATTACACACTTTCTAAACAATTAAATATCCAAAACTTTCAGTGGCTAAGATCGATCGTATCTCCCATGGATTATTAAGAGCATCTTCTTTCTTCCCAAGTCTCTTATCATGCTTTGAAACGGGTATTTTACATTTTCGGCTGGCAAGCTCTCTAATGGACGAGATGTAGAATTTCTATTTTGGCATAAAAATGGAAGTAAAAATATGATTTTTTTATTAGTACTACATATTGTTGACTCGCCAACATAAATATTTATTATTAAATGATTCATGTATTTTAACATGAAATGACTATTTAACCCCAAATTAAAAAAATAAAAATTGAATACACACCACACAAAAATTATTTACTAATATGAAAATTTTCCTATGTTTATACGTTCTTACATAGATGTCGAAACCATAACCATAAAATCTTAAAAATCCCTAATTCACCGAAACTCCCGAATTGATAAAAACCTAAACCCTAAAAATAAAAATAAAAATGTAAGAACTGAACCCATTGTAATTGTTCCCATTATAATTTTGAAAAAATATGAATAAATCCATTATAATATAAACAAATTTTCTCCAAGTGATAAGCTTGGCAGCTTTCTTTTAAGTTTTTTACAGTAAAAAGAATTGAACCCATTATAATTTTCAAAAAGATAAAAGTTCACCATGTCGTGTCATTCTTTTTTGGGTCAAAATTTTGTGAGATTGACTCTAAATGAGTAACAGAGAGGGTTGCAAATTGTGGATTTGTGCTCTCCCAGTAATATCAACCAACAATTGAATGCCATGTAATCGACCTCATTAGGCCATCTCCAACCGATGGCTGGCCAGATGGCTCGTTTTAACCCTCTGGCCCTCCAAGATTCTCCAAGATATTAATATTTTAATGAACAGTACAAGGTCATATTTGCCTCCGTCTCCAACCGAGGGCCAGAGGGCCAGAGGGCTCGTTTTAGCCCTGTAAAAAAAAACCGTCTCCAACCGAGGGCCAAAGGGCCATAGGGCCAAACATAATTTATTATTTAAAAACTACAACTTATTTAAAAATCATGTTGGTTAGTGTTGTATAATTTTTATGTCGGTTAATGTTATTTAATGTTGTTTCATATTGTTTAATGTTGTTTCATGTTACTTAATTTAATTTAATGTTGTATAATGGCTTAGGAAGTTATAGGAAAAATTAGAATTTAAAAAAAATATGAAACAAATTTTGTGAAATAGAAGTTATAGGAAAAAATGGAATTTAAAAAAAAAATATGAAACAAATTTTGTAAAATAGAAGTTATATGAAAAAAATATGAACCAAATTTTGTAAAATATAAGTTATAGGAAAAAAATAGAATTAAAAAAAAAATTGAAACAAATTTTGTAAAATAGAAGTTATAGGAAGTTATAGAAAAAAAAAGGTTTAAATTCATAAAAAAAAAGGTTTAAATTCATAAAAAAAAAAGGATTTACAACGGCTAGTGGCGCTAGCCGTTGGAAGTTTGAATTCAAAATGTTATTTCTGTCGGTTGTAACCGACAGAAATAATATATATTATATTATTTCTGTCGGTTATAACCGACAGAAATAAGAAACATTAAAAAAAAAAATAGCCAGCCCGGGGCTGGCTGGCTGGCTGGCCGAAAGCAGCCAGCCCTCCAGCCCTCCAGCCCTCTCCGATCCCGTGGGGCCCTCCCAGATTCCCAAGCCCTCTGGCCTAGCCCTCGGTTGGAGACGGTTTTAGGGCTATTTTCGGCCCTCTGGCCCTCTGGACCCTTTGATTGGAGATGGCCTTAGCATTTACATGTTTAGCAAGAGTGTTGAAATTTGGAGGTGTGGAGAGAATGAATAATGAGGGAATGTTGAATGTATGTGAAGAATGTGGGGTGTATGTAGAAAGTGTAGGGTGTGAGGGTAATACAGAAAAATTAGTGGGGTGTATTAAGATAAATTTAATTGAAAAATTAAAAGTGGGGTGTATTCAACAATATGCGAGGTGTTAATAAAACCCTAAAAAAATAAATTTGTTTTTCCACATTTTTTAGGTCCTACCAATTAAAGAGAGAAAAATAAATGAAATTTCACATTTATATGAATAATACCTGCAGTCATTTATCCACTTGTAAATAATATATCTTTATCGTAGAATTTTCTCAATCAGAACTATTTAATTTCTTAATCTTCATCTGAAGGTTATCCTTGCAAAAAATCATTTAAAATAAGAGATTGTTTGGTCATTCAAATGTATCAAATAAATGGACAATTCATTATTAATATGTTACTTGACACCCATAATATTGTTGATTTATTTGATGCATTTGAATGAGTAAATGCTCTCCAATTTGAATGATTTTTTATAAGGATGATTTTCAAATAAAAGCAATTCTGGATATGAAATTTCTATTATGAAGATACGTTATTTGCAAGTTGAATGAGCTCATCCGAAGGAAAAATGCAAGTATTATTAATAATCTATTATTCCCACATAAATGAAACTTAAAAAGAAGACAAATTTCAGGCAAAAATACAATTTAAATTAATTGCAACAACCCGTCCTTGATTTTAAGTTATATAAATTTTAAAATAGTAATTTTTATGAAATGTTTGACCTTCGTTGACCGTTCGAAGTCACAATTAATGTTTCTCACAATTAATGTTTCTGAATAGATCTTGAAGCTTCGAACGGATAGACGAAAGTCGTTTGCGAGTCCGGATTGCATCGGTATAGTTATGGACATTTGAAACTGTTTACTCAAATTTTAGTTTATAAACTAATTAAACTCCCACCCACCATGTGGGAATTGTAACCAATCAAATTAAAGGGGGAAGGACCAATCAGAAATTAGAGAAGAGAGAGATAGCCAATTAGGAGAGGGGAGAGAAAGCTCCCAGCCTTCTCTTCCTATCTACCCATCGTGACCTCCCATTTTTCGTTGCCGATTTCGGCCAACTCCAGTGGAATTTTTCGACACCACCACCACCCTTTTGAAGCTCTCACTCCTCTCTACAAAACTCAACCAAGAACCACCTTGATTAACCTCTGTGCGTGGCGGTGCGAGGCCACAAAACCTGATGGAAACCAATGGTGCTTCGGCCACCCTTTTCATTTTTCTAGTGAATCGGAAAAATGATGGCCGACACCGCCACTTGGGTTTTGTAGCGCATCATCCTAGGAGTAAATCCCGATTAGATTTGACCACGTTGGACTACCGTAGGCGACAAATCAACACCGGGAAGCTTTAGGCACCCACTGGCTTTATTGGCGAAATTAACCATCTTCCGTCCACTTCTGGACTTCGTGGCATGTATAAAACTTGTTCCTCTTGTTGAGCTTTAACTTCCTGTAATTTTGGTAGAATTTGGAGTTAGTAAAAAACGTGGGTTTCTGGTTGCTGGAAACCACCACGTGCGGCGGCGCATGGGTCGAGACCTGACCAGCCTATCCTAGGGTAATTTGGATGCCCTGATTCCATATTTGATACCTGATTGGCGGAATTCCATTGTTTGAGTATAATTTCGTTAAGATCCGCCATTCAAATATTATAGCAATCAACGATTCGACCGTTTGATCGTCACTAAACTTTAATACATTCTAGTACATAATATTTGAGGATATTAGAAACTTATGGATTGGGAATCCGATGTACGGATCTTCCCAAATTGGATTTGTAAGTTCGTAAAATAAAACGTTGACCGCCACTTGAATTTGCAATTGGCGGACATCTAACCGTTGGATCGTAATGAAACTTTAATATCATGTTCTAGAAGCATAATGTGTATCTTTGGAAGTTACGTATCAGAAATCCGAGGAGTGGATCTTCTGAATTGAGTTATGTAGGATCATGGACCCTACCGTCGACCTTTGACTGACGGTTGACTTTTTGGTCAATGGGTTTCAAATCATTCTAGAACGTCCTTGGAGATGTGTTTTATATAAGTTACGTGTTCAATCGATAAGAATTCTGAGACGTGATTTGATAATTGTTCTAGGTGTTGATCATTTGTGACGCTTCAATATTCGTGCTAAGAAGTTGTAGCGCGGACCTTAGGTAAGTGGGTCTTTTCATTTTTACAGTATATATATATATATATATATATATATATATATATGATTGATAGTTTCCACAAATTGAGATCTCAAATTGAACTCATAATTTACTAAGTTCATCGCTTTCTTTAATATCTCGTACTAATTGAGATCTCAAATGTTGCATGCCAGCTCACAATGGTGGGAAGCCATGCTGCTACCTTACCTTTACCACTATCGCAACGTTATTGGAACTCTGTCTTCCCAAACACACCAATGCCGAAATATATCAGCCAACTCGTCAGGCAGGGTAAATAGAGTTGAATATCAGAGTGCGCAACGAACAAGACTAATAAAATAAGAATATTATTAAACTAATGAGAACGCCGAAAGGCTACGTTGTGAATGACTTATTATTCATGCTAAACTATAAGCTCTATTTATAGAGAGCAAAACCTAGAAACCCTAATTCGGATGGGTTAGACCCATATACGAACTAACAAACAAACTCAAATAATAGTAATATACTAATATTTTCCAACACCCCCCGTCAAACTCATGACGGTTACGACATGAGTTTACAAACAAGCAGATGCGGACTGGTAGGCATGCAAACTTGACTTAACTGGCAAACTGATTCTTCATTCTTGATGGCAAACTGATTCTGGTTCTGATTGGCTAGAGTTAAGAATATGGAAAGAACCCGTTACTAAACGGACGAGATTTCCATATCTCAATTGTAACTACGACCGAACAAACACAAACACTATCACTTGAGTGGTCACAATTCCAAACACTCGAGTGACAGTCACAAAACAATCTCAAACAAGCTAACAACTTGTGTGGGCCTCAAAAACTCCAAACAATTTTTTTCTTTTTCCTTCTTTTTTCTCTCTTTTTTTTCTCTCTTATTCTTTTTTCTTTCCTTCTCTTTTCTTCTGGGCGAACAAGTGCAACATCACACTTTTTAAACAACTAAATAACAGTGACTTAAGCAAATGAATTTTTTTCCTTTAGATTAGCAAGACAAGCAATAAAACACGCAGGCTCCAGAGTGTGAAGGCAAGGCAGCAAGCGATGTGGGTTTATAGCATGTGGTGGTCAGATAGCGAGGTTGCAGGAGGGACTTGGTGGCGTGGTGACGATGCAGCGGAAAGTTCAGGCAGGCAGTGGGGTGTGGGTACGATGCGGGTCTGGTTCATGGTGCAGCGGCGTGCGAGTCAGAAACAACGGCAGTGATCCAAGGTGGAGACGAACTGGATCCGAGTTTGTGGTTCTCGAGTCTGGGCTTCGTCAAAACCAATGGCGGTCGATGTTGCGAGTACACAAGATCTCGGTCGGCGGGATGCGGTGATGTTTCGATGTGTAGCAGAGGATGATGACATGATGCAGCAAACTGATTCAAATTTCTTTTTTTTTTCAAAACTAATACTGAATACTAATATCAAACAAACAACATGAATACCTATCAAGAACAGATTAAGTCTCGAAATCAAACCTGCTTTGATACCAAGTTGAATATCAGAATGCACAACTATTAGATATATTTATAGAAAGCAAAACCTAGAAAGCAAAACCTACAATGTGAATGGCTTATTATTCATGCTAAACCATAAGATATATTTATAGAAAGCAAAACCTAGAAAGTTTAATTCGGATGGGATAGACCGATATACTAACTAACAAACAAACTCAAATAATCATAATATACCAATATTTTCCAACAAATAGTATATTACTAGTATAAGTACCCGCGCGTTGCTGCGGGTTTTTAAAGCGTATAAAATATGTAAAAAATTCTACACACATGTACAACCAAAATAGGGATTCAATTATGGATTCGTATTCCTGTTTACAGTATTTGCACACATACACTAATCAGCAGTTTTAAATTCTTCGATCATCACTTCAGAACTTCTTTTATTTTTTATGATATTCATGCTTCTCGGTAACAATGTGAAAAAGTAAAAGCTACTAATGTAAATTGTTAAAATAATTCAGTAATATCGCAGCTCTCAAATCCATTTAATAAGATACATTAAAAAAAAAATTGCAAGCTACCTATTATCGTTGATCAGCAACTTTTTACATACATTATTTTGGTGGCAGCATAGGTAGATCAGCAACCTTCTACAAACTTTATTCCTTGCATAACATTGACAATAGTAATATCACATGACAATTTTATGATCACAAAAATTTCTGCAAGGCCAGCACAAACTGTCACAACCTTTGAAAATAACAATTGACAAAAACTTGTTCAGATTCAAGATAAAACTTCAATGACGCTCATATGATAAATCTGCCATTCATCTAGTAGCATTCTTACAAAAAAAAAAAAAAAAAAAAAAGCATTGAGTTGCTTTCCTTCCAAATTAAGTTTACCTACCACGGGAGAGGTTGAACCAACTATCCCCTAGATCCCGAGTACATGCCAAAGCTCTCATTCAAAGCTGAAGGCATACCGCTGATTGACTCGAGACCCACCTTGGGTAAAAAATTTGACCACTGAGAATGTTGAATTCTCTGATCTGCCTTTAGATGAGAAAGGAAGATTTCGGGGGATGAGCATATCAAGAATGTAAGAGACTGGATAGAGGGGTTTGATTTCACAGTGGAAAAAAGCAAAACTCCACATACAGATATATACTACTTCCAAACTAAACTTTTGCAGAAACTATACATAAACTTTCTCAAAGATACAATGTCTGGCTTCAATACTACTCAGAAGACATAATTCATTGAAAATTATTTTGGAAGGGAGCAAAATTTACCTTAAACACCGCCGTAAGCAAATCAGCATTGGGGAGAATTTTTGTTGAATCACTGAATGGAAAATCAAGAGTTTAAAATTCAAACAGGAGCATTATTTAAAACCCAAAATTGAATCATCACATAAGGAATTCAGTGCAACCATCATCAAACCTGTTGCTCTTTCTAATCAACTACAGCTCCTTTCTCATTTTTCGTTGAGTTCCGAACACTCTGTATGCCATTGATTTGGATTGCCTCATTTCCTTTGGTATTTCTGCTAAACCTACTGGGAACGTCTTCTCTCTGCATTTCCCTAACCAAACACAATCACAAATTAGTCAATTATAATAAAAAAAACGTAAAAATGGCGCTACATAGTGGATTTATAGAGGGTTTATAAAATAACAAAGGCACGTGATTTAATAGTTTATGAAAAAATAAATCATACATCGTTTTGAATAGTTCCTATTCAAAAAATAGACTTACTGATGAGTCAATTGCCAATTTTCTGAAGAAATCGTATGCTTTTTATGAGTGTATCACAACCTTCAAAAAATACATAAAAATCAGTAAAATTGTAAATTAAAACAAAAAAGAAAACCTCAAAAAGGAAAAAAAAAAACTAATTATCATTTAAGTTACTGAAAGCACCAGAAATTACAAAAAAAAAAGAGAGAGAATCCACACTAAACAAAAAAGAAAAGAGAACTTGCCCTCAAGTATGGATTGTATAATGATTTCCAGTGTCCAGGTTGTGAGTTTTCATGCTATTTTGAATATAACTCGCACTTACCAAGACCAATAGATGATGCTACACCAAGAGCCAGCCATCAGAGTCCAAATTGCAGATAACGAATAAGCTCCTGGATATGCTACATTTTGATTAATTATAAAATCAATAAAGGAAAACTCCAAAAGAGAGAGAATCCACACTAAACAAAAAAGAAAAGAGAACTTGCCCTCAAGTATGGATTGTATAATGATTTCCAGTATCCAGGTTGTGAGTTTTCATGCTATTTTGAATATAACTCGCACTTACCAAGACCAATAGATGATGCTACACCAAGAGCCAGCCATCAGAGTCCAAATTGCAGATAACGAATAAGCTCCTGGATATGCTACATTTTGATTAATTATAAAATCAATAAAGGAAACTCCAAAAGTACATCAACATTATGCAATAAACATGCCCAATAATGCATATATGATGCAACATTCATGGGAAATCTTTATCCCAACAACTCATACAAACAATATTAAGCAAACTATATTAATCAAATAACGGTTACTCTAACTAAAATTCTAAATGCAACTGAACAAAAATGTCACCCTTCGAGTAAATACCTCTTGTTGAGGTCCACCAACCGTCGCAGTGATCACTCATGTACCTCCTGCTAACATAATTAGAAGCAGAAACCAACCATCTCTCGCCATAAAACACCAAACATATTTGCCAATAGCCAAATTGAAATACTTTAACGTCTTTAACAGCTGTGTTGTAAGTGTTTAATTTTCTAGTTCCTGGTGATGCTTCAAACGGAGTCCTGCGGAATTCAAAGATTACAGACAACCTTCAGATTTTCAATCTGAAAATTGAAAAATTAAACTACTTTCCTCAATTGGAATTTAATTAAACATTTAAAGAGTTAAAATAATCAAACTTTTTGTTTTTATTTACCTACCCATAAAAGTTTGATTTCCATTTTATTTAAAAACGTACAAAAATTGAAACCTTCTGTTTCCATTTGATTTCCCCTTTCATAATTAGATCAGCTGAGTAGCTCCCCCACCTTATTACTCCCACGTACTAACGTAAACAATGAGTCACTACAAATTTCAGGTTTTACATGAAATTTTTTAATGGAAAGTGTATAATTGGAAAGAGTAGAAGAAGAGTACATGTGCATGCTCAGATCAAATCAGCCAGAACCTGATCTAATTGCAATGACAGGAGTGAAATCCGACTTCCAGTTGCTGCACCTCCTAGCTTCCTTCTGCTGCAACTCAAATTTGGTAGAACAAAAGTCTCAATCTTTAACAGATAGGAAAAACCCAGTAATCACACATATTTAACAGATCGAACTCAAAAATTAAAGAACGAAAAGAAAAGGTGAGGAATTTACTCGAACCCACAAAATTAAAATTAATTACAGCATAATCAGGCTAAAGATTCAAAATTCACTATGTAAAGACCCAAATTAAACATAAAATTCAAAATTCACGACGCAACAACCCGAATTAAACACAAAATCAAGGTCCTTTCAGAAAAATAAGCTTAAGAAAGGGAAAATCTGAAACCTATCGAAAGCGCAGAAATAGAGAGAAAAGAATTGGGGGAAAAGTTGGGAAATTTACCAGAGGGGTTTAGGTGGAGGCGCCGAGAAGAGCCGATCTGCAAGGCAGATTGAAGCTCGAAGGGCCGAGCTTGGACTCTCCGGCAGTGGCGAGATCTAGGGTTTTCCACAGACAGATAGGAAACCTAGATTCGGAAAATAGGGAGAGAAATAGAGACCTTGATTCGAAGAGAAATGGTGAAGCCCTAAATCGAGCTGCTTGGTGCAGAGAAGAGTGAGGCGAGGAGGGAGACGGGGAGAGCAGGAGTCAAACAAAATAAGGAAAAGCTGATGATGGGGAGAGAGAGAACCGAAGCACCCAAAGAAATCGAAACCGGAGAGGATAAACGCGTGGCCTCGGAGGGTAAGTAAGTCATTTTACTGTAGAAAAGTTGGCAAAAAATTGGCTTAACAAACGAATTGAGGGGCATTTTGGTCCGCACACTGCCCTAGAACAGTAACCAGTGTTTGGGTTTTAGTATATATAGAATATATACAACTCATACACTCTCATATAGACCTCGATCGGCCTCTTCCACCATTGATTTACTGATGCTCATAGACTCATAATCTTACTTATTTTCGATTTATCATGTTCTTGCTAATTAAATCTGCAGACTTCCTTAGTGTTGGCAAAGGGGGAGTTATTCTTCACAGCCCAATTCAAAAGGAAGAGAATTGGGTTTATGCGAAATATTCAGGCAGTGGCGGCGGTGAGAGCACTCTGTTTCGTTTCCAGAATGATGCTGCAGAGAACGCTCGCGCTGAAGCCGAAACACAAGTTGAAGTCGACCGAAACAGAACAATTTTCTTCTTGGAGAATGACCTTCATCCTGGCAGGGTAATGAATTACCGCTTAGCTGGAAGTGGAAATTCTAGTACCACACCTTTCCTGTCCCGAAAAACTGCAGAGTCGATCCCCTTCAGTTCAAGCCAACCGCCAAAAATTCTGGATAAATTATCAGTGAAACCGGGGTCTGATGAAGCTGACTTGATTAAGGTAACCATTCAAAATTGTGAAAGTCAAGGCGCGAGTGACGAAGCAAAACAATGTGCCACCTCGTTAGTGTCAATGATCGACTATGCCACCTCCACGCTGGGATCAAGAAATGTTCTTGCAATCGCAACGGAGGTGGAACAAGGAGCTGCCCCCATGCAGAAGTGCACAATAACCGCAGATGGAGCGAAGAGGCTGGCAGCCAGCAACATCATGGTGTGTCATAAGATGAACTATTCGTATGCCGTCTTCTACTGCCATTCAATTGAAAAAACGACGACTTATGTGGTGCCTCTGCAAGGAGCTGACGGGTCGAAAGCCAAAGCAGTAGCAGCCTGCCATCAAGACACATCTCAATGGTAACCAAATCATTCTGCCTTCAAAGAGAACAACGTTGAGCGAGGAACCGTTCCCATCTGCTATTTTCTTGAAGCCGAGGATGTTGCTTAGGTTACAAACCAAAAACCAACTTGATCTAGTTGAATTTGTTCGACCTGATCGATCACTAGCCTATATGTAAGAATATATATCCTCCGGTAATAAATGGAATTACATAAGACCTGATAAATTAGTTGTGTTTATGTGTGCGACTACTGACTGTCATAGCACATCTTACTCATTAGAAACGCAAATTTCGAAAACAGTACATCTTAAATATAAAAAAGTGTAATGCTAAGGAGACCACGTAAAGACACTTTTGTGACATTTTTCTTTATGTTGATCGGCTTGAAATGGTTGCAAAGAATCTCGAAGTTAAACGGTGTCTTGGTTTGCACCTCATCGGAAAATATTACTTCTGCATAATGATACGACCACATGTGACTTTTCATTACATTTCAAAAGACATTGCTTAAATTTCGCGCCCAAAAAAAAAACATTGGTTGAAAAGTTGCAACTTTTTTTTAGAGGGAAGTGCCAATTTAGTCCCAAAACTATCACCTAAGTGAAAATTAGGCGTTGAATTATTTTTTCGGTAAAATAAGTCCCTAAATCCATTAAAAATTGTTAATTTCATCCCTACTATTATATTCTAAGTTATTTTATCCAAATTTTTGGTCAACTTAAGTTATTTGACACGTTTTAGAGTGTAATACCGTCATTCTCTCGCCTCTAAGCCCTTAACATTTCATATAAGTTGTGAATCTAACGTCTAATTTATCGCTAGCCCATTATAAGACTTAACTCACCCATTCTCTTTAATGTAGATAATATCGTTTGTTAAAAAAAAAAAAATTGAGGACTATTCAATATTAGCTCCTCCGAGTAAGATGTTTTAGGATGCAAAGTGTCCACCCTCACCCAAAGGCGAAGGGTAGGACATTTAATACCAAAGAGCTTAACCCTTTTCGATCAAGCATTTGACTATGTTTCCCGTTTCCCTGAACATCCTACATTTCTTCAACCAAAAGATAAAACAGAAGGAAAAAACAAAGACCTACATTTCTAAACCATGTCCTACCTACTACTAGACATTTTCGCATAAAGCTGATCCCCTTGTTCAAAATTTAATGGCACAACCTTGTGGAAGACCCATGCTGAGAAATTGGTTTTCCTTTTGCTGGCAGCGAATCTTATCCACAAAGCTGTGAATGAGCTGACCAGCCAAGCTTGATGGATCATCGATGAAGGTGTCCACGAATACTCTGACCACCCTTCGTTCTTGCACATTTGCTTTCAGACTGAACCAAGTCAGAAATTTTACTCTAAAATCTTCATCTACGTGGCCCTCATGCTCTAACCATTTGATTGCTCTCACAGAGTAGTCGTAATCACTTTCCTCTGCTCGCTTTGCACATCTGAAAACTGGTACTTTGCGCATTCCGTTAGATTTACAAGGTGTCAATGGAGAAACTGCATCCTTGATCAAAGAAACAGTTTCAGTTAAAGGAGGCAATGAGTAGAGACGTTTGCTCTGGTTCTTGCCAACGCCATCTGATAACTGAAGATTTGCGGGACGGTCTCCAGAAGCTAATTTGATGTCACTAGAATTGGTTGATTCAGCTTGGGAATGATTTTGAACAACTACTACATTCTCTTCCCTCCGCTTTTTCTCTGACACAATAGAGCTATCATATGATGCAGGCGTGACCCATTTAGCTTCCCAAACTCCCAATATTCCTGAGTTGCTAAACAGAGAAACCTTGCAGAAATATTCAGATGAGGGATGGAGATTGGTGATGCTAAATTTCTTCTCAGGCCTCAAAACAATGAAAGAGGGTTGGTCTGGGTAATCCTTCGCATCAGACTTACGATACCACAGCCTGCAACCCAAGAAGTTATTAAAAAGTCGGTCCTCATATTCTAGCACAATGACAACAGAAGTCGGGGATGAGTCTTCAAACTGGATGCAGCAAGCTGATACAATAGAGTTATTAAGTAACATCAGTGAACAATAAATATATATGAATTGGTTATAACTTAACTAACTAGGGTGATGATACTGGCCAATAGTTTTCATTCCCAACTGTAGTCAGAGGGTCAGACGGAACTCATATAAAATGAAATGCATGGTGCTGTGTTCAATCTAGATGCTGCATATGTGAATGCGGACATCAAATTATTGAAAACAACAAAACAATAACTTACTGGCTTGCTCTTCCTTTTCTGCATGGACAGGGCAAGGAACAGAAAACAGTGTGTCAAACGTTTCCACTGCTGCACTGCACAATTTCTGAACTTCAGCACCACAAGAGAGCCTGTTAACAATTCCACGTGCCATCTTTGCACAGACCTGTTCCAAAGGCCCTACTTCATTTTTCAGTTTTTTCATCGCAGTTCCTACTGTGTTCTGCAGATTTTGGTATTTCTTCGTTCCTAAAAGAATTTTGTAAGATAGAGAAATTCGTAGACACAGTACATCCACTCTTCTAGCCTCCTTTGCGATCATCAATTGTTTTCTCCAGGTTCTGTAAACAAAACCAACCATCTAATTAGCAAACAGTTTTATTCGGCAATTGAAGAAAAGTGAAATATTTTTCATTCTAGATTAGGTCAAATAACCTGAATTGTCAACCTCATCCTTACCAACCATTTTCTACATTCGTATCGATGAAAATATTTCCTTGGAATAAGTTGTTAGTCTAACTGTTTTACTTCTAGTTTCCAGTTTGTTGTGGATTGATTTAAATTTTCTCGGAATAGTTTGTAACCAAAAATATTACCAACGAAAACATATACAGGTGACATATTAAAAAAAAAGGTTGTGTTTCTATATACTTCGAAGGAATTATCATGACCTACATCTTTCATTTCCCTACATCTTTCATTTCTAGCTGTAGAAAGTGTGCCATTTCCTATGTACTTAAGAGATAGCTTGGTAGATTCTGTAGTGTTCAATCACTGATACATCGGAGAAGCAAAATATGTAGCATTTGCTGTCCGCATTCCTTTGTGTGCGCATGCGTGGACAGGCACACAAACGCAACACCTGTAGATGTCTTTAAAGTTGATAAATAGGCAATTGGTTTTCTAGGTTGGGACTCTGTCCTACTGACCAAGACATACACGGCTAGCATCATAATATCATACAATGCAGTTAAGAGTAAGTAATTGAGATTAAATGGTCATAGGTGCTTAAAAATATTCATTACCTCATTAAATCATTAACCCTTCCACAAGCAACGCAATAGAAGCTTCCATCCAATTCTGGACAGAACCCACTCTTCATAAAGCCAGATTTTTCATGCATTAGAGCACATTCCAGATGACATGACATTCCACATGGACCATTCTCATCAGCAGAATTAGAGCCACAGGTCAACCATAGACTAGGATCCTTGTTATCATCGAAAAGATGACAGATACAACAAGAACATCTTTTGCAAAAAGACTCCTCTAACCCGAAGACAGCTCTGCATGCTACATTATGACAAACTTGGATTTTAGGATTTCCTTCTTTAGTTGTCACCGGAGAAACATGACCTGTGTCAGAGAGAGGTTGAAAGGAAGCTTCCCTTTTCCTTTTCTTTCCAGTTTGAATTTTGGCTTGAGCAACTTCAGGATTACCATTAGTATTGCTCTTAGAATTCAAATCAATTACCTTCAGAAGCTGCTGTATCATTAGATGTTTTGAATATCCTCTGTACTTCCTCTCTTTACCCATCTCGGCGCAGATAATTTCAAGAAGCTCCCTACGGGTAAAGGAACTTAGAATCTCTGGGGCATCGTTTGACCATTTGGCGATCTCACGGACTAGTTCTCTCTTTTCTCCCAAGCTTAGGCTGCTACATTTTTCAGGGTCAAGTACAAAACCTGAGGAAATAAAAAAACCAAATGTCAAACTGAATTTCATGTCTTATGTTTTATAACACAAGTTGATGAAATTACAGATTATCTGCAACCAAGAAAATGTTGAATATAATCACTTAAACCTAGTAGATACTCATACAGGACAATATACGATTCACGTTCATGGTTTATCTTTGGTGTTCATATAAATCAACCACACTCAGACTGAAAATGAATATCCATGCACTGACAAAGTACCAAAGGGAATCAGGCCACACCTAAGCTTGCTGCAAAATAACTCGTTACCTCTTTGGTCTTCTCCAAATTTGTTCAACCATAAGTTGTTTCTTTCTTTTGCCAGGTAAGTTTTAATTTGTGAACCTGAGATAGCCCTTTAATTTTGGTAGACTTTACCAAAATGGTGTTCACATATGGACTCTGGTTCCTTTTGGCACAAGGAAAATTAATGGAGAGGTTCGAACTCTCGCCTTCAGTGTGACTAAAATACATCATACCACACGAGCTACAACCCCACCAGACAAGTTGTTCGTTCTTATAAAACAAGTAGCTCTCAAATCACAATTGTTCTTCTTGAGATGTATCGTCGTATAACTCAAATATATCGACAGAAATTAGTCATTTGACAATGACAAATGACGGACTACTATTTCAGCGTCCACTCCCATAGAAACATAAACTTCATTCCTAAAACCCCATTAGGATTCCGAGTTCACAAAACTTAACGAAAAAAATAACTTATGACAAAACAGCTTTACCACAATATCAATGAGTAATAATTGTTCAAGGGCAAACAAAGTTTTACGACAGGCAATGCTGGTTGCCGTCATTAGTCAATCTAAACAGTGTCTCCCTAAATACTTTCTAGCAAGAACAAACAGCCATGTCTGATTATTTAAAAAAATACAAAAAACCCCAAAACCCCAGAAAAATCATAACCTGAATCATCAGCATAACCTAATTATTCAAAAAAAAATAAAAAATTAGGCATTGGGCAACATATACATTGGGGATAACAGCAATATTTATGTGTACTAAAAAAGGGGGAGAGGCAAATATAAAAGAAAGGCATACTCAGATGCAAATAATACTTTTGTGATGACATACATTGTCATTGTGGAATACGATAATCATAAAGTACATAAAACTAACAAATCAACTGCAAAAGAGTAAAACCCACCAAATTTATATGAAGAAATAAAAAAATAATGGGAAATATAAAGTGGGAAAAGTGACCTGAGAATACAGACTGCATGTTTGAAGCCCTCTCTTCTTCTGGGTTGCTCATTGTATTCAACAGAGGAGGCAAAAAAGCCAAAGACACTATTTTTATCCAGGGAACTTGTTCCTAGAGAGAGAGAGAGGGGGAGGGAGGGAGAGAGAGAG